CGTCTGTCTGTCTGTCTGTCTGTCTGTCTGTCTGTCTGGTCTGTCTGTCTGTCTGTCTGTCTGTCTGTCTGTCTGTCTGTCTGTCTGTCTGTCTGTCTGTCTGTCTGTCTGTCTGTCTGTCTGTCTGTCTGTCTGTCTGTCTGTCTGTCTGTCTGTCTGTCTGTCTGTCTGTCTGTCTGTCTGTCTGTCTGTCTGTCTGTCTGTCTGTCTGTCTGTCTGTCTGTCTGTCTGTCTGTCTGTCTGTCTGTCTGTCTGTCTGTCTGTCTGTCTGTCTGTCTGTCTGTCTGTCTGTCTGTCTGTCTGTCTGTCTGTCTGTCTGTCTGTCTGTCTGTCTGTCTGTCTGTCTGTCTGTCTGTCTGTCTGTCTGTCTGTCTGTCTGTCTGTCTGTCTGTCTGTCTGTCTGTCTGTCTGTCTGTCTGTCTGTCTGTCTGTCTGTCTGTCTGTCTGTCTGTCTGTCTGTCTGTCTGTCTGTCTGTCTGTCTGTCTGTCTGTCTGTCTGTCTGTCTGTCTGTCTGTCTGTCTGTCTGTCTGTCTGTCTGTCTGTCTGTCTGTCTGTCTGTCTGTCTGTCTGTCTGTCTGTCTGTCTGTCTGTCTGTCTGTCTGTCTGTCTGTCTGTCTGTCTGTCTGTCTGTCTGTCTGTCTGTCTGTCTGTCTGTCTGTCTGTCTGTCTGTCTGTCTGTCTGTCTGTCTGTCTGTCTGTCTGTCTGTCTGTCTGTCTGTCTGTCTGTCTGTCTGTCTGTCTGTCTGTCTGTCTGTCTGTCTGTCTGTCTGTCTGTCTGTCTGTCTGTCTGTCTGTCTGTCTGTCTGTCTGTCTGTCTGTCTGTCTGTCTGTCTGTCTGTCTGTCTGTCTGTCTGTCTGTCTGTCTGTCTGTCTGTCTGTCTGTCTGTCTGTCTGTCTGTCTGTCTGTCTGTCTGTCTGTCTGTCTGTCTGTCTGTCTGTCTGTCTGTCTGTCTGTCTGTCTGTCTGTCTGTCTGTCTGTCTGTCTGTCTGTCTGTCTGTCTGTCTGTCTGTCTGTCTGTCTGTCTGTCTGTCTGTCTGTCTGTCTGTCTGTCTGTCTGTCTGTCTGTCTGTCTGTCTGTCTGTCTGTCTGTCTGTCTGTCTGTCTGTCTGTCTGTCTGTCTGTCTGTCTGTCTGTCTGTCTGTCTGTCTGTCTGTCTGTCTGTCTGTCTGTCTGTCTGTCTGTCTGTCTGTCTGTCTGTCTGTCTGTCTGTCTGTCTGTCTGTCTGTCTGTCTGTCTGTCTGTCTGTCTGTCTGTCTGTCTGTCTGTCTGTCTGTCTGTCTGTCTGTCTGTCTGTCTGTCTGTCTGTCTGTCTGTCTGTCTGTCTGTCTGTCTGTCTGTCTGTCTGTCTGTCTGTCTGTCTGTCTGTCTGTCTGTCTGTCTGTCTGTCTGTCTGTCTGTCTGTCTGTCTGTCTGTCTGTCTGTCTGTCTGTCTGTCTGTCTGTCTGTCTGTCTGTCTGTCTGTCTGTCTGTCTGTCTGTCTGTCTGTCTGTCTGTCTGTCTGTCTGTCTGTCTGTCTGTCTGTCTGTCTGTCTGTCTGTCTGTCTGTCTGTCTGTCTGTCTGTCTGTCTGTCTGTCTGTCTGTCTGTCTGTCTGTCTGTCTGTCTGTCTGTCTGTCTGTCTGTCTGTCTGTCTGTCTGTCTGTCTGTCTGTCTGTCTGTCTGTCTGTCTGTCTGTCTGTCTGTCTGTCTGTCTGTCTGTCTGTCTGTCTGTCTGTCTGTCTGTCTGTCTGTCTGTCTGTCTGTCTGTCTGTCTGTCTGTCTGTCTGTCTGTCTGTCTGTCTGTCTGTCTGTCTGTCTGTCTGTCTGTCTGTCTGTCTGTCTGTCTGTCTGTCTGTCTGTCTGTCTGTCTGTCTGTCTGTCTGTCTGTCTGTCTGTCTGTCTGTCTGTCTGTCTGTCTGTCTGTCTGTCTGTCTGTCTGTCTGTCTGTCTGTCTGTCTGTCTGTCTGTCTGTCTGTCTGTCTGTCTGTCTGTCTGTCTGTCTGTCTGTCTGTCTGTCTGTCTGTCTGTCTGTCTGTCTGTCTGTCTGTCTGTCTGTCTGTCTGTCTGTCTGTCTGTCTGTCTGTCTGTCTGTCTGTCTGTCTGTCTGTCTGTCTGTCTGTCTGTCTGTCTGTCTGTCTGTCTGTCTGTCTGTCTGTCTGTCTGTCTGTCTGTCTGTCTGTCTGTCTGTCTGTCTGTCTGTCTGTCTGTCTGTCTGTCTGTCTGTCTGTCTGTCTGTCTGTCTGTCTGTCTGTCTGTCTGTCTGTCTGTCTGTCTGTCTGTCTGTCTGTCTGTCTGTCTGTCTGTCTGTCTGTCTGTCTGTCTGTCTGTCTGTCTGTCTGTCTGTCTGTCTGTCTGTCTGTCTGTCTGTCTGTCTGTCTGTCTGTCTGTCTGTCTGTCTGTCTGTCTGTCTGTCTGTCTGTCTGTCTGTCTGTCTGTCTGTCTGTCTGTCTGTCTGTCTGTCTGTCTGTCTGTCTGTCTGTCTGTCTGTCTGTCTGTCTGTCTGTCTGTCTGTCTGTCTGTCTGTCTGTCTGTCTGTCTGTCTGTCTGTCTGTCTGTCTGTCTGTCTGTCTGTCTGTCTGTCTGTCTGTCTGTCTGTCTGTCTGTCTGTCTGTCTGTCTGTCTGTCTGTCTGTCTGTCTGTCTGTCTGTCTGTCTGTCTGTCTGTCTGTCTGTCTGTCTGTCTGTCTGTCTGTCTGTCTGTCTGTCTGTCTGTCTGTCTGTCTGTCTGTCTGTCTGTCTGTCTGTCTGTCTGTCTGTCTGTCTGTCTGTCTGTCTGTCTGTCTGTCTGTCTGTCTGTCTGTCTGTCTGTCTGTCTGTCTGTCTGTCTGTCTGTCTGTCTGTCTGTCTGTCTGTCTGTCTGTCTGTCTGTCTGTCTGTCTGTCTGTCTGTCTGTCTGTCTGTCTGTCTGTCTGTCTGTCTGTCTGTCTGTCTGTCTGTCTGTCTGTCTGTCTGTCTGTCTGTCTGTCTGTCTGTCTGTCTGTCTGTCTGTCTGTCTGTCTGTCTGTCTGTCTGTCTGTCTGTCTGTCTGTCTGTCTGTCTGTCTGTCTGTCTGTCTGTCTGTCTGTCTGTCTGTCTGTCTGTCTGTCTGTCTGTCTGTCTGTCTGTCTGTCTGTCTGTCTGTCTGTCTGTCTGTCTGTCTGTCTGTCTGTCTGTCTGTCTGTCTGTCTGTCTGTCTGTCTGTCTGTCTGTCTGTCTGTCTGTCTGTCTGTCTGTCTGTCTGTCTGTCTGTCTGTCTGTCTGTCTGTCTGTCTGTCTGTCTGTCTGTCTGTCTGTCTGTCTGTCTGTCTGTCTGTCTGTCTGTCTGTCTGTCTGTCTGTCTGTCTGTCTGTCTGTCTGATATGATAATCATAGGGGGTAGCCCCTTAGATAATAGGGGGGGCATAAACTCAAGCTAATATTGAATCCCGAGCAAGACCGGGCACACTCAGCTAGTATCAAATAAAAACACTTAATCGAGCATCACGTTCGATGATTTACATTATCCGTCTACTAAGGTTGATGTTTTGACAGTTTCATAATTATAATTATTAATTTGTTTAGAGTAGGTGGCAATACCTTTACTTGTGGTTCAAACAGTAACTATCCACATGACTTCTGAGCTCTTTGGAATGTTTGGCTCCCGTTTGACAGTTCGACTCGGCTCCCAGATGACAAGCATTTTGAGTTAGTTCGCAGTACTCAGTTTCGGATAAATTATTTATATCTAGCTAAAACATTTCGATGGTTTTGACAGATGGGATCGCTGCCCATTTGAATCAGCCGTTATGGATTCTCGATCAAGAGTTAAGTTTAAGTTTCATGTCGGATTGTCGGTGTTTCCACGTTTAAAAACTTGTTTCCAGCAAAAGAAAAATCACACTAAACAATCAAAACAAATCCTTCAAAAGGACTGAGCTTCTGAGAATTTCTCCAACGGATTCGTATTTCTGCAAAATTCAATCAATTCTATAGATCTACGGAAAATTTCGTAAAACCGACATCACTGACTTGGATCTGTTTTGTTTGTATTCAACACAGCTGACACGTTGACAGACCAAGGAAAAAGCAACTAGTGAAAAAATTGCATGAACGAGGGATGCTCCGGTTGCAAAACCATGCTTGGAAGTGTGCATGATAGAAGGTGCTAGTGTGCCTGCAAAATACGCTTAATATTTTTTGAAGAATTTTTTCTAAGAGTTATGTCTGTTTGTCTGTGTTTATACTTCCATCACCGACAAACCGACATGGCACTTAATTCTGACTTACGCCCGAAAATCGTTAACGGCCGATTTAATTGTGCAGTGATCCGAACTGTCAAAACCATAGGATTTTTTGATATTCCTAGATAAAAATAATTTATCCAGTATAGATCAGACACGAACCAATTCATAACTTTTGCATTCGGGTTCATGACTTAGCTAAATATTTCCCACGAACACGGAGCCAGATGTCAGTAGTGTGCTTTGGTCAATTTTTTTTATTGATATTGCTATGGTCATTCATGTCGGTTTGTTGGTGCTTTCATCTTCTCATCTATCTTACAAAATGACCACTTAAAGTCTGATATTCGACGGTAAGCATCACCAACTAATGATTTATTTAATGATACAACAATAAAATTTGTCGTTTTATTGATTTCCTACGTTTAACGGTCAGCTGTTCAAAATTCCGTTATACGTTTACCATTGTCGGCGATCTGAATTCAGCGAATTCAGTAAACCAATGGGCAATAAACTGAAAAATCAGTAATAATGTACGTTTGAAAATTCAAGTGGTTCAACATTTTTATCAGACGTTTTGGTTTTTATTTCGAGTAGAAGCTACTACAATTTGGTTTTTATCAGCGTTAACAAGTACTAAAAATAACTCTGTATTCCGGACAAACAATTTTTCAATTGGAATCAAAGCCCAACAACTCGAAAGCGTCACATTGCGAACGAAAAACAAATCCTTCGAAAACACATGCCAACCATACTGCGATTCCTCGATGTTCCGGTTCATCACTTTCCCTCCCTTCGAACTTGGCTTTAGTTTGCTGCACTTTACCCGTAAGCCTTTGTACGCCGAATGGTTTCCGCCTCCTGGAGAGTTTCGAGCACCACGTTCCGCTCGAGGGCTGCCAAAGTTTCATACCGTTCCTGCGCCAGTGCCACGATTCGCTCTTCCAATCCCGGATATTGCACCAGCATTTGCATAAAAACGGCTCTCGCTGAAGGGAACGAAGTGATGGATGAGAATGGCAATTTGACGCCATAATTTATTACTGTTAGCAGTTAGAAAGTTTAAACTTACTCAAAATGTACGCTTCGCTCGTTTCGACGGCTACGATGTTGGAGTATTTCTGAAATGCGTTCGAAATTATAACCTTTTCTAATCGTAACTCAACACTTACCATCAGAATGCTACCGAGCGCGAGCTGATACTCTCCAAAGTGCTCTCCGTCTTCCAGGTGCAGCACTTCCCTCCAGTTGGCAGTGTAGACAGCAACGGTTCCCTGTATCACGAATATCATTTTAGCTCCGTCGCTTCCCTCCGATGCCTTCACTAGCAGGTCCTCTTTCACAAACAGCTGATACTGCAGATTGTTCAACAGCCAACGGAACATTTCCGGGCTCATGGTATCGCGGAACAGCGAAACTCCTTGCACCATTCGACCGCAAGTCTCCTCCCGGATGCCCAGGTGGAACTGCTTTCCAGTGGCGACATCGATTTGCGTCTTCCGACTGTACCGGTCGGAGATGCGATGATCGTAGAAGCACATCATTCGGCGTTCTAGTTCCGGAGAAAGCTGCTCCGACCGGATGTAATCCTGAAGCTCGTGGCGATATTCGTAGTACTGCAAGGTGGCGTTGAGTGATTGCTCAGTGTTTGTTAATTAACAGGAAATTCTCTTAAATACCATGCTAGTGCTGGAGAACATGATCCTGATGAAGATCAAAAGTTCAGCCAGAACATAGATCTTCAAAATGTACCCGAAGGTGCTGAACAACAAAGCCAATAGGATATCGTCATCACTCATAAACTGATCCATCGAAAAGGTCACCAATCCCATCGTGTAGAGCGTCCGGAAGAAGCATTCGATGTATTGATGAACTGAAATGATACACTCTTTAGAAGACAGCCAACCCTTCGGTCATCCAACATACAAGGTTGTTTGTTCCAGATATCGACCTGACTAATCCAGGAATATGGATCGATCAGATCCGGATCGGTTCCCTGGCGGAATCTTGCCACTAGAAACATCACACAGGTAGCCCAATGAAGCGACAGCACAATGACCGTGGCTATCGTTGTGAACTTCATTACATTCCTTCGGAGCCCATACCTTCGGTAGACGTTGTTGATGTACCGCAGAAATGTCCTCATCCGTAACATCTTCAACATCGACAGGACATTCCAAAAGTCCCAGAAGCACCCGAAATGGAAATCGCGCTCCCGAAGGCAATCGACGAACGAATGCTGGAGAACTTTCTTCGATACGATGTAACGCGTGAGTAGCGGATCCGGTGCGGAGCTGATCAAATCGATCCAGAACCAGAGCAGTACGTAGCGATTGGCGATTCGGCACGGGTCCAGTTCCACGTGATGGCTGTCGGGGTCATAGTACCCAGTTCGGATGCTGAAGCAGATGTCGATAAGGCAAATTGCGTCTGGAATGGTGGAGTAAATAATCACATTTTTAGTCAACGCTTGAGACTAAAAAACTAGAGCAAAGCGGCATTACCGAAAGTTAGAACAACCAGATGGAACCACGTCAGGGGGTGATAGTCTTCCGGTCGGAAGAGGAAAATCACATCGTACGGGATGAATATGAATGCGGTGGCGAATGCGAAGATCATGATGCATTCCCAGCAAAATCTGCAGTCCATTGCGTGAATTTGTTTAGAATAATTTAAGTCTAGTTGAAGTAGTGAATCATAATACCTGAGATAACTGAATGGGTGAACCGTACTGGAGAAGTAGCTGATGTGACGGGAAATTTCTCGCTTCATTGCGGTATCGCTGCGGAACACTTCCCGACTGAGAGCACTGGTTTGGTCCAGGTAGCATAGCTGGCGGAACCAACGGGAAATCCTAGAGGAAAAGTATGTTGTTATTCACTGGCGATGGTTTGAATGACATGCGACTTAGATCAAGTATCGTGGAGTTGTTTGAAACTATTTTTGAAGTATACTTTACGGGAATCCAAACCCTGGCAGAGTGAAAACTTTTGACCGAACTGACCAGCAAAAGGATTAACAATTATTAATAAAATATTTTGCCCGCTCGGTCACCAGGTTTCACTCGGCCAGGGGCCTAATTTGGCGCCTATGTTGCCCACCGTGCGTTGAAAAGCATTAAGCATGGTTTTGTTCGATAGTTGGCTCTTGGACTTGTAATGCTTGCTTGAGCTTGAGCTTGATTGACCGCCCACGGTTGCTACTCTGTTACTGCCAGATCAGCTGTAATTACACAGAGAACCAATAGACGATGCTTGGGACTAGCAATCATCCTCAATGTGTAAAAACTGGTGATCTTAAATTAGGCAATACCAGCGCCGGCCGCGCCCGAACACAGGTCAAGAAAGGAATGGGAAGGATTGTGTTGACATGACACTCGCTTTGATGGAAGCCGAGAACACCTCTGCACTTCCACGAGGAATCACTGGGATGTTGGATAAGAGGGTTGGGTTTGCAGCAGGGTTCGTTTTGGTAAACGATAAGCTGAATTGATGTCCTAACGATCATATAACGCGAAGGAGCTTGGGACTAAACCCACGGTCTTCTGCTCAGTAAGCAAAAACGTTTGCCACTAGGCAGACGAGCACCTTTTTAATCACCGAGTTGCTGTTATTACCATTTAGTCATATTAACAAATAAAACGATTGACGAATCTTGAATGTGGATGGGCCTGAGATTAGACTCATGATGTTCTGCTCAGTAAGCAAAAACGGTTGCTCTAAGGCCACCGAGCCCCTCATATCACATAATACCGTTGCTCAAATTTGTGTATCCATTCAAATCCGGAACCAACGACAACAACGAGTTTCGCAAAATACACGATACACAAGCGATTTTACCATAAATCTGACCTGGGACCGCGTTTTTCTGCTCAGTAAGCAGGCCACTGTAACCAACGATCTTTCAAATCCGAAAACTAAAAACTACGAAAAAGTACTTAGGCCTTCATTAAGTTCCACTTTCACGCGACGTTCAATGTTTCAATTTGCTCTTTACGTATTGTTCAGGCTATAAATAGGCCCTTTTCAAAAGTTACGCGAGAAATACGCACAATCGTCGCCTACCTCGCAAAACTGGTTCCAAACGACAACAAAGGCATAAGGGGCATAAGCAACGATGGATTGTTGAACTTTGCTGGCTCCGGTGGTGTAGTGCACAGCAAAAAAAAAAATGTAATAACGATCTGTCTCTGTCTTATCTCAAATACAAAATGCCAATGGTATGAATGTATCTATATATAACTTGGAAATGACGTACAATCAAATAAACCCGTAACCCACTCACTTGGTGAGGCTTCAGAATCGTCCAGTGGGCAGTGCGCTCTACACTCCAAGTTCCCTTTTTTCAAATTAACCGCAAATTTGATATTTTACCCATTGCGTGTTGATTAGTCACAATTAAACATTGTGACAGAAGTTGAGGTTACTAGTGTATTAAATAATCTAGGTCCTATTTAGGAAATCAAATCTGGCCGACGCCCACCCTAAACCTAAACCTGTTCTAATCCACCTGAAATGACTAACGAATGGAAGACTTTGACTACCCAGCCATGCAATAGTCTCATTCCGTGCCTTATGGCAACTTGATGATTCTATTGCGCTCATCTTTTGGCACCACCCAGGGAGACTTGGTCCTGTACCCAATGCTTAACTTATCTCCATTCCACTCAGCTACTCGCAATTTCTTGTGATATAGTGGGCGGAATATTATTATATGAGACAATTCAATGCAGACGTCTTTCCAAATTTGGCAGATCGACAGGTAATCGGTAGTTACCACGATAGTTGCTATTCAACAACCCGACAACGTCCCATCGTCAACGCCTGCTATGAGAATTTCCCATTGCAGACGCCAACGAAATGACGTCATCGAGCTATCGATCAACTACCCTGGTTATCGCCTGGTACCTTATAGCACGATGCTAGGAGGCGAACCGGAAGAATCGATGAGCTACCTCCCCCCCTGATAGTTGGCTCTTGGACTTGTAATCCCTTAAAACTATCTCGCGCTAATAGCACAAATCTCACAATTTTTCCGTGGCCACCTGTTAATACCAAAAACCTTTTTTAAAACGCGAAGCTCAACCACAAATCATGCACCTGAAAGGAAATGTTAAACTCTGGACAGTCAACTAAAGGAGAAGCTCAAAAGCTCACGATGTTCAACCTTCTAGACTGGACTTCCCGGGCGAGGCATGAAGACCCCTTTCTGGGTCCGGTGATAACACTCGCAAGTTGTTCATCGAACAAGCATTTAACAGTCTATTTAAAAGTATCGTAGTTGGTAGTACCGCCACCTGTGGCGCGCATAGTCAATTCCCTTGAATTTGACGTTTGCACTCTACCGCCACCTGTTCAGCGTACTACATACTGTAACGTGCCAGTGCTGTGCTACTCCCAGCACTGATGAGATCCCCGTCTCCAAGCCTCAGGGTCGGCATACGCTCGTGACAATTCCGCGAACCAAGAAAACACTTAAAGTTCGCTCAAGACAAACTCCCACTTTATTCGCTTTTGTTAATTTCACTTCCTTCTCACTTCACGGACGGTCTAGACTCTGACGTCTCCCACTTCCTTAGTTGACTACTCCTACCTTATGCTAGCGCTACTCTTCGTATTTTCTTTGGGGCCGCTTCACCTGCCACTGCCGTCGTCGTCGTTCCTCTCCTTCCTCTGGTACCGCGTCACCTTCTTGGGCCAGGGGTGGGGACACCTCTACCTGTCCCGTACGCCCCTCGAGTATGGTGACGGACTCGAGGCTTGAACAAACTACAACGGTAAGTTGGATTGCCTGGATTGGTGGCGCACACTGTAGCTGTGGGATCAGGTTAACGATCTACGATTCGGACACACTACCGGCGATTGTCGTGGCCGACTCCGGAAAAATACGTTAAATACGTAATTGTTATGGTAAAACCGCGAGGTCCTGGCTGTCCAATTGTACGTGGCAACTTCCTCTACAACTCCTTTAAACTTTAAATTTAGCTCACTTTAGTTTTCACAACCAAACTATAGATTTTTAGCTCTGACTTTCGCTGCCATTGCCATAAGGACTTTTGAACAGCCCATATGAATTTCATAAGCGTAACTTATTAATGGTTTTCGGGTAAGATGAGGTAGCTCTTATACGCCTTTAACCATTTCATTTTCCCTTTGAAAGACGAGTGATCAACACACGGGCCCCGTAATCTCAAAGTCCAGGGTTCAGTTTCCGTCTGCTCAGATTTATTATTTTTTTGTCAACATTATTTTTCATAAGGCAAATCAATGAAACTCATACAGATTTCTTATGGAATTCTTTCGTTCTTCTGCCTCAGTGTATGCCAAAAGGGCCGCTTCCATGTGTCGGTCTCAGGGAACCGAAATTTACATGACTTTTTCGTAGTGTGCAGTTCTCATCTGAATAACACGGTTCAGAAAAAAAAAAACAAAACATAATAATCACGCACATAAAGCCAGAAAACCAATCACATCCATGCGATCTATGGAAATTTATCCTCCCTAATACCAACGAAAGTCCATTTTGGGCCCAATCCTCCCAGCGCCCAAAGAAAATGCGAATTTTCATTCCACCTTGTAAAATGTCAACAGTCATCCGATGTAAAAAAGAGCATGAACCCACTTTCATCGGCTCCGGCGCAATTCAAGCGAACGGCCAGCTTACCTTCCTTCCCCCTCACCGGTAATTTGGTAGCTGTGGGCGTACAATCTCTAGAAAAAGGCCCAAATATAATTCACAACTCATCACCGAAGGCTGCAGAAGTAAAAATCATCCGTGGGTGCTTTTGGGATTCAAAGAAGCTTACATTTACGACATTTTTGTTTCTACTGGTCGAGGTCAACCGTCGTAAAAGCTGTAAAAACCAAGAGAATAATGGTTGACTTGCCTTTTTCCGAATGACTCGCCGGGAACGTAGGCCCGGAAAAGGTCGATATTGTGTCCGGTTTTGCAGTCGTGATTGGGAAAACCGACCGATGGCACTTTTTTCGACGCCATGTCCAGGTCCTGTGCCAATGCATCGTCGTCATCCTCTCCATTCGGATCCGGATGCCAGTTGCCGGCGGTAGTTTTTGTTTGTTTGGAAGTTGACGGATTCATGGCTGGGAGTGGCCGTGTTTGGAGTGCACTGCTGACACAAAGAGAAAAAAACACACAATCGAAGTGGTAAACATGGAACTACACACTCCGGTGATCGTGTATATCAGCATGTGATTGCTTGGATGGATGTAGTTTCCAAATTTGTGTGCCATCCAAACACGCATCCGAATCGACAAGCGTGAGATTGTCACGTTTCACGAATGGTGATGGTAGTCGATTTGTGAATCCATATGCAGATACACCCGCACATTATTCACCAAAGCTCGACAGATTTATTGGGCAAATTGTCACCTGACAGCGGGGCGGACCCGATGGAACAACTTGTTTAGGGAACGTGCTCCGCTGCCACCGATGCCACGATTGATGATGGTTGTTTTTGGCGCCGTAGCGTTTTGAACGCATGCCAACCCTCCCCCCTTCGAATTTTGGGCATTCACGTGTGTATCGCGTTTGAAAACATGTGAACCGTGGTGGGGACATACTATGTGAACAGGATCAACACGCTTAAAAAAATGACTGTATGATTCCAAAAACAGGCGCTTTTGATGCAGTGGTGAGGGTTGAAATTCCAAGTAGGTTTACCAAAAAAGTGTCGCAATGTTTCAGTTATTTCGAGTAAAATCCGAACAAATTGCTACACCATCGAAAAGGATAAACAGCTACTATATACATAGATATTTCAAATGTGCACTCATCCACGGCCAAAATCGATGCCATAAATTTAAAGTTTTTTTTTCTGTCGCATTTCATTAGATTGCCCGGTCGCCATATTGAGGCAAAGCAAACAGGTGTAGGTTGTCGCATGGCACGCTTCGTTGTTGAATATCAATGAGGACATTTTTTACAAACCGTCTCCCGTCGCCGTAGTGTGCCATGTTTTCGAGTCCTGTCGGACGGAACGACAGGTGTTTGTTTTTGAGCGCTCGATTTATTGACAAATGGAGGAGAGCTTTTTTATGACTCTCGGAAGGATGTGGCGCATCAGCGCTCACATGGGAATTGACATTTTTCAATAGCAGTCATGGGAGGGAGCAGCAAATTAGGATGGCTCTTGTTTTTTTTTCGGAATTGAGCTTGGTTACTTGATTGAGTGCCTATTGTACATAGTTGTTTTTGTTTGAATAGAACCGTGATTTGTTAGCGTTTGTTTTTCACTTATTTTGACGCATTTGTGATTTGTCATGGATTTTCATCTTATACCATTGGTTGATTGATTGAAAATGCTTGCTTTATGATTTATTTTTTTCAACTTTTTTCACTAATTGAAGAATATGCTTGAAGTTCAACATTAAGTGAACCCTACACGATTACTATTATTGACAATAATCGTTTTATCAATATGTTTAATATTGACGCCAACACATCGATATTGACAATAATTCCCCCGTGTGAGGTTCGCTTTAAGCCATTAAGCTTTCAGAGTTTTATACAGCTATCCCCCGAAGAACCCCCAGAAAAATCTGGACCAGGAAAAATCTTAAATCTGGAAAAATCTGGAAAGCTCCAAAAAATCCTCTTTTTAACAAAATGCTATTGAAATCAAAGTTATCAGTATGATCAACTTTAATTTACTTAAAGTACTAGAATGGTTATAAATTACATGTTTAAATAAATTAAATAGAGCAAATAACTTGTTTGCATTGCTAAAATCATCCAAAAGTTGAAAAGTATTGACACGGTGTGCCCAAAAAGTTCAAATATTAATTACGCAGCATTTCAAAAATTGAGTTAAATGTGGGTAAAAAACAATAGAAATGTCTTTAATCTGCAACTTTTTTAAAAAGAATGAGAAGCAAAGAATCAAGGAAATTTGATGAGATGGAGTTTTTGAACGAATAGTCGATGTAGTCCTTACTATTTGTTTTTTCCTTGATTTGTTTTCCGTCGATCTTGTTTTCCGTGCTGAGCACCAATGGTACTGACGCCTGGACCCATCAACTCGTGAACCGGTGGAAGGAAGGCGTGATCAGAGATGTTAGTCCTTACTATTTGATAGTTTATTTTAGTTTTCTTTATTAACGAGATTTTCAGTACCTTACTATTTGATGCAGTACCAGAATTTAAAGATTTTATTTGTTCTAAATAATTCTAATATTACCCTGAGCTTGATCAGATTTACAGTTTAATTCTTTATATTATACAACACACAACACCCAGCAGACTAGTAGGAAATTTTATTTTGAAGGAAAATTCACCAGTGGGAATCAAAGTCTAACATCGTGGAACTCACACACAGTTTACCTAAACTACGGGTAACTCCACTATTCGCATGACCTTTATGCCAAAGAATAATTTTATTATATTACAAAAATGAAAGTCTGATAGCTTCATTTTTGAAGTCTCAGGATCTTGCTATGATTCTAAATTCCGGAATTTATATATTTCCTGCGTCCCAGATCATGATTTTTTTTTGTTTATCTGAATTTACTTGGAACTCTTCGTCTTGTTTTTTAGTTCAATTTGAATCATCCTAGAATTCTATCATATTTCTTTTCTATATTCCCCTAAAATAATCTTGAAAATATCTAAACTTTTCCAGTAACATTCTAAGAGTTCTTAGCATTACCTCTTGTAATCTCTTATAAATCAGTCTCAAATTCCATAACTTCCTCAAATTGGTAATAATTCCCAAGAATTGGCTCAATTTTGAGTCAATTTTTCTCTATGAAATTCTTAAAATTTTCTTAACAATTTCCTTGGTACACTCTTCAGAATGACCATCACACTCTTCTCAGACTTATCCGATAATTCCCTTTAAACTGCTTTGTAGGTAAGGTCAGCTAATTTCAAATAACAGACTAAAGTGGTAATTTTTCTACAATAGATGAGGAGGAGACGAAAGTATAGAATTGATAGTTCCGTTAGAGTACGGCAGTGTGAAAATTGCATATTGAGAGTAGACAGCGAGCTTGGACAACTTTTAGGAAGGTACAAATCGGTTTTATCATCTCTCTTTACCAAACTCCCCCTTTGGAGAGGGATGGTGAGGGGTGTAATATGGATAATATTACATAATATTACAATACTTCTCGCTCAAACAACACAATGATGACGTCATGCTCGTTTGGCTACACTAACTGACAGTTCGTTTGGCTACATTATACTTTTCCTCCGCTTATCTATGGAATCTATAGTGAGTTCAAAAGGGAAGAGCAAAATGATCGATCCATACCTTTTGACACTTCCTCAATAATACCACTCGACAAAAGATCTTTAAGTCTCTGCCTTGTGGCTTCCTTAAAAGCTACCGGAATATTCGTATACACATTACGAGCTGGAGGCATCTCTTTGTCGTATCTTAACGAAACAGCAGGGATATTGAATTTTGGAAACTTGTCAGGAATTAAAACTTCTTGTGTAAAATAAATCGTATCTGTGTCACATTGGATTTACAGCAACCGATGATGACGTATTGGAACGTCTAGGCCAACGTCAAGGACGCAATACCTAATTGCAGTGTTGAAGCCCAGAAGTGCTCTTAATTCATCCACAACATAAAACTTTTCCACCATAACTGGCCTGTCCTCTGAGATAAACAATTCAGCGAAAAAATTGGCAATAACCTTTATCTGACCGTTGGTCGCATATGCCTTCAAAGGTTTATCAGTATAGTAACGCAAAGCAAGAATCTTGAATGCAGCTTTTCTGTTGGCCAGAATCTCATCAAACATCGACTTAGTTATAGCATTAACATGATCGCCAGAATCTATCAAAAACTCGACTCTTATTTTTGATAATTTCCTTCCCACGTGATGGTTTGATTAATGACCGGACATGAGTCGTACAGCGTACATCTGTTTGCTGTGATTGTAATAATCCAAAACGCAATTTCTGTAATGCAGTGTTCATTTAGTCATATTTATTCCGAAACATTTCAGTTAAATTCAATACAAAAGGAAATTTCAACAAATTATTAAAACAATTATTCAAGATCTTCATTTTTGCATACCTTGGTGTCGAATGACTCAGCTTTTGTATCTTTGATCGCTGCGATTTTCTTCTCAACGCCCGAATCTTCCTGGTTCGCAAAGCGCTTTAGCCCTCTGGTCTGGTTTCTAGGCGGATTAGAAATGCCACGAGAAGCACATGCCCGAGCAATGTGACCCAACCGTCCACAAACTCGGCATTCTTTGTTGATTGCGAAGCATCCACGCGCCCGACGAAAAGAGCTACCATATCGCCAGCAATTTGAAGGTGCTTGTGGTCGAAAATTTCGTCGTGTAATTTCATATCCACCTCTTCCATTATTGCGGTTTCCTCGATGGTATCCTCTGGGATACCAGTTAGAGTTGAAAGATTCCCGATGTCCTTGAAACTCAGAAAGATCTTGAGAAACTGCTGATACTTTCATGGTCTGACTGTGGCTACGAGATCTTTGAAATTCCTCTTCATTTGATTTCTCTGTTTCACGGTCGCGTACAAGGTCAATAAGGTCTTGCATTGAACCTTGCTTTACCCAGTTACGGTGCGCTAGTACTCGTACTCTTGCATCATTTGCATTCTTGGTGATAGCTCTCACAACGGCCTCCATTTCTTCGTCTGATCCGTAATTACACAATTTTGCTGCTGATCCTACACGCCAAACAAAATTGACGCTGCTTTCCGTATCCATCTGACTCATCATCATGAGTTTTCCCCGTTGGGATAGAGTGTAGGTCCTTGATCCGTAGTATTCATTCAGGGGAGCCATAGCATTTGAAAACGGTTGGGTCTCCTCATCAGGCATTCCTGGGACAGAAGAGGTTGCTTGAAATATTTCACGTAGTTTTAGTCCCGACTTTATCTTAAACACACCGAATTTTGTTTCTTCATCTACAGCGTTAATAAGCTGAAGAGAAGAAATAAGGATGTCTTTCCAGTATTCAAACGCCTGTTTGTCTATATCCGCTTCGCCAGATGACGGAACACACTCTGGAATGTTGAGTGTGCCCAATGTCCAGTTGTTCATTTTGGATAGCATCAAAGAATCTTCACGTGAGCTAGCCTGATGAAATCTACTT